GAGGCCCGCTGACATCACGTCTAATGTAGGGTCCATAGGTCTGCATTAGACATGAGGACGGCACGGGACATTCCATAGCTGGAGCCGAGGTGAGATGAGTAGGGATCAGGTAGATTCAATAAAAATGTATTATAGTCTAAAATTATTATAAAAATGTATTTTAACCAGTTGACATCCTTGGTGTTAAACCCCCTTCCCATCCAGGCCATTTTTCAGTATTCAGCGCTGCGGTACTTTGACTGACATTTATTCCGTCATGCAACGCTGTACTGAAATGAATACCGTTTTTTTACAACGGGCGGACGGCAAGTGGTTAAATGATTAAATTAAAGCCCATGTCTGGACAAAAAAAAACTCCCCTTGCAGTGGAGCTATGCCTGCACTGCAAGGGTTAACAGTTTTTGTCTAGGGGGATCAGTTTTACTTAATCCGCAGCCTCTTCCTCCCTCCGTGGGCCCACTAACGTAATCATGTCTAATGCAGGGTCCATAGATCTGCATTAGACGTGAGGACGACAAGGGACAATCCACAGCTGGAGCGGAGGTGAGATGAGCGGGGATCAGGTAAGTAGAATGTCTTTATACAATCCCCCAGAAATGAACAGTCAACCCTTTCAGTGTGGCGGGGGGGGGGAAGCCCCACTGCAAGGGGAGTTTTTTGTTTTTTTTTAAATCCAGAGATAGGCTTTAGGTTCTGTGTGGTTAACGCACGGTGCGATGCATCTACTGTGCGTTAACAGTGAGGGGGGTGCGTTGCGTTGGTATTCATTTGAATGGCACCCTAAAAACACATCCCACCTGCAATGAGATCAACTGTGCCACAACCCATAGTACCACAATACTGCACATTGCAGTGCGATTTAAAAAAGTAATGCACGTACTGCTAACGCACGGAGTTGTGGTGTTCATGTCATGTGACATTTTCACAGCGCCTTAGTGGTTAGCACTTCTGCCTTGCAGCACTCAGGGCCCCCAGTTCAAATCCCTGTCAGGACACAATCTGCATGGAGTTTGCATGTTCTCCCTGTGCTTGTGTGGGTTTCCTCGGGGTACTCTGTTTTTTTCCCACGCTCCAAAGACATGCTGGAAGGTTGATTTGGCTCCTCTCTAAGTTGTCCTTGTATGTATGTGAGATAGGGACCTTAGATTGTAAACTGCTTGAGGCCAGGGACTGATGTGTATGTGCTCTATGTAAAGCGCTGCGTAGATTGTCGGCGCTATATAAATACTTAGATATCGCCTTCATTCAGTGGTGTGAAACAATAAAATACAACAACACCCGGCCATCCTTCTGCTCAGGTAACTCTATCTGTTCTGACTTCTGGTGACATGAATGGGATTGCACTTTGGGAGTTAGAGATCAATGCACTGACAGATGTTGTTAGCTGCAAAATGGAAGCGCTGAAGAATGGATTCTGACTGCACTTTGTTCACTGATCAAACCTCCCTCTGTCGTGTGTCCCGGGTTCTGTGTTAGTGACTTTACTCTTATTTATTCATTGTAACTGATTCAGGGGAGGCGGATATTATTCATATAGTCAATGACCAGAAACAATAATAGAAACAAACCTCACACTATAAACATCAACCATGTAGATCTGCGATTGCTTGAAAATCCTGTTCTTTGTTATGATTAGCAGAATTTCAACAAATCATTGTCCTTGAAATGAAAATATACACTATGTTGCCAAAAGTAATGGGACGCTGGCCTTTACACACACATGAACTTTACTGGCATCCCAGTCTTAGTCCATAGGGTTCAATAACCCCACACCATAATCCCCCCTCCACCAAACTTTACACTTGGCACAATGCAGTCAGGCAAGTACCGTTCTCCTGGCAACCGCCAAACCCAGACACGTCCATCGGATTGCCAGACAGAGAAGCGTGATTCGTCACTCCAGAGAACACGTCTCCACTTCTCTAGAGTCCAGTGGCGGCGTGCTTTACACCACTGCATCCAACGCTTTGCATTGCACTTGGTGATGTAAGGCTTGGATGCAGCTGCTCGGCCATGGAAACCCATTCCATGAAGCTCTCTACGCACTGTTGTTGTGCCAATCTGAAGGCCACATGAAGTTTGGAAGTCTGTAGCTATTGACTCTGCAGACAGTTGGTGACTTCTGCGCACTGTGCACTTCAGCATGCGCTGACCCCGATCTGTCATTCATCGTGGTCTACCACTTTGTGGCTGAGTTGCTGTTGTTCCCAGTTGCTTCCACTTTGTTATAATACCACTAACAGGTGACCGTGGAATATTTAGAAGCAAGCAAATGTCACGGATGGACTTATTGCACAGGTGACAACCTATCACGGTACCACGCTTGAATTCACTGAGCTCCTGAGAGCGACCCATTCTTTCACCAATGTTTGTAGAAGCGTCTGCATGCCTAGGTGCTTGATTTTATACACCTGTGGCCATGGAGGTGACTGGAACACCTGAATCCAATGATTTGGAGGGTGTCCCAATACTTTTGGCAATATAGTGTAGCTGTGACAGTATTGGAGGACATTGGTCTAATAGAAAACCGGGGTATCGCAGACTGAGACAATTTAAACTGAGCACTGACATTCCCCTATGTGAAAACATTGTGAGCAAATGATCTCTAGATCCAGACATATGGGCAGCCAAAGTTATATATAAATCTTGACTTTCTTTTAAAGTGAAAATAAACTCAGGAATAAAATTTTAAAAATACATTCAAATACCTTAACTGTTAACAAAAATGTATGTTATTTGTGCATCACCCAGCTGTAGATCCTCATTTCTGAGGGCCCATTCACACCAATTGGGGTGCGTCCCAGAGCGGCAGCTGCTGAAACGCACAGCAATTGCTCACAAAACTTCCCCCTTCCATCTGGGGCGGGAGGGGGCGTGGCGGTGCATTGAAGTCAATGGCACTGCAGCCCCGCACCCGTGGCAAAAGATTGCCTGTGTTCTGGTCCCCTGCAAACGCAAAAAATGCTGCATGCTCTATTTTTTGCGTTCGCAGTGGACCAGAACGCAGGCAAAGTTTTGCCACGCTTCCGATCGCACTGCGGGCAGGTGGGCGTGTCTGTGGTACCATTGACTTCAATGCATCACCACACCCCCACTCGCCCCAGAACGAATGGGGACATTTTGTGAGCAATTGCTGTGCGTTCCAGCAGCTGTTGCTCTGGAATGCACCACAGTTGGTGTGAATGTGCTCTGAATTGGTGCTGACACTGTCCTTCCTTCTGGAGGGGGGCTACTTTTTTTTTCCCCATGGTCCTTGTGTGTTTTGTAAAGTAGTCACTACTCCAAGCTCACTCCCGTGATGGACTACAATCGCAATACAAATTCGGAAACTAAACATGAGATTGTAGTCCATCACAGGAGTGAGCTTGGAGTAAAGTCTTTGTATAAATAGGCAAATAACTGAACATCGCTTGTTGCTACACAGTATCCATCTCCAACCATATATGTTGATCATGTGCAATGGAATTTACTGTACAGTTCTTAACTTGCAGATGTTTGCCTGCCAGGTGATGTTCTCCGGCATTTTTACTAGTACACTAGCTCATTTGTCATTGAGTTGACAGAACCGGCACAAATCACTACTATGTTCACAACTATCGTAATTCTGACAGGGATATGTGGAATGAGAAAGGTTTAAGTTGGTTATACGAATAGCTCCATGTTTGTATTTTTGGTGTAGTGGCCTAGTATAGGTATAATGTTCACACATTAAAGTGATATTAAAGTCAAAAGGCAAAGTCGCCGGGAGTCTGTTTAAACAGCCCCGATGCTGGCGACGTACACTGTACGTCGTCAGTCACGAAGGGGTTAAAGCTATTTCAAATGCTGGTTAAAAAAAATAATTTACAATAGATGCTGGTCCTTGGTGTTTAAACGTTTTTGCTGAATCAGTTGGTCCCCAAAGCATTGGCTCTCATATTCTGTTTTATGGTGGCTCCTTTCCCTTGCTGGGTCCTACGGAGCCACCCTTGTCTGTGTCTCCACAAACGCAGAGAAACTGCCTTGCTCTTTCTTGCTCCCCAGATCGTCCGACCTGGGTATAGCAGCAAAAGACTAATCAAGCCATCTAGTAGCTGGTTCCCTCCGAAGTTTCCCCTCAGGATAGCTGGCGCTCGGGGCCATCTGAGTGTTATCCAGTGAAGCGAATGATTAGAGGTCTTGGGGCTGAAACAATCTCAACCTATTCTCAAACTTTAAATGGGTAAGAAGCAGGCTTGCTGGCCTGGAATGCGAGTGCCCAATGGGCCAAGCCGAGCTGAGAGATTTGGAGCTGTTTGGAAACCTTTGCTGGGCAATATATATGTGTTGGACCTGGATTCATTATTGAGTGGGAGCGTTTATTACTACTTGAATGGGTCGTGGTCTAGTGGAGGTTGAATGTATACACAGGTATATCTGTCTTTTACAGATGTTTGTTTCCCTGAGCTGGGTTTGACATTTAATACCATTTCCATAAATACACATCTTGCAAATGAGCA